AATTGATCCTACCCATTTCCATAGCACCAATCATAATGAAAAAATATTAGAAATACCCGAAACAGTCCACATGAACCCTATGGACACCTTAGGTTAGAAATAGGTCCGAGCAGGAGGAACCCTACCTCTTGAAACGTAAAGAATTTGTAGGAAGCCTAAAGAATAAGATTGAAGTCCAAAGCTTAGATTTTTCCAAAATCCTCCCTTTGAATCTTCGGTAAAAATCTTTGTTTTTGGTACCCACGCGTAGCTCTCGTCGCGTAGATCGACTTTAATTCTTGGCCCGACGAATTCCGACCGACAGAACTCCGAGAATCGGCGAAAGAAAGCTTGAAGAATTATATTTTTTTCTTCTTTGCTCTTGGGTTTGATCCCACTTTTATACTTTCTAAACACTTGGCCCTCGCCACGCCAAGTGTCGTCCTTTGTCTGGGTCCGTTTTCATCCCGAAACGATTAAATTTCGTACCGATTTAAGCTCAAAATATTTTATATGAACTTTATTTAAAATATTTTTCAAATTTTTAAATTTTTATAAAAATTTCGTTTTTAGGGGTCATCGAACACCCGTCACCTCGAAAAATGTGAAAAATCTGACTATATTAGAATTCGACGAAATTTGTCTGGGTAACTAGATTTCGTGAGACGAATCCAACAGTGNGTTGGAAGCTCTGGAAATCTATCCACCCGCCAAATTACAAGGCAAGTTCTTCCATTTTTGAGTTGGTTTTCTGGATGTGTTTGGAGTTCCTTTGAAATAGAAAAAGCATTTTTTTTGGGACATCCAAGCACACACTTTTATCATACTTTTTCTTTTTGTTTGATTAAGATGTAAAAAAGAAAAGAAAAAGAACTGTGCCTAGTTTCTGCCGCAGATTATGTATGGACAATTACATGCAATGTGTTATGATTTTTAAAAAGGCATGGTGAATGGTAGGAGTAAGAGATGGACTGCTAATTTTTAAAAATAAAGAACTGATTGGGAGTATGAATTTCTATTCTTATTATGGTTTTGATAGGAACTTTCATATATTCTCATTATTGTTTCGATAGGAACGTGGATGTATTCTCATTAGTGTTCCAATAGAATCATCAATTATCGATCCTTGTAGTAGCATTGAAAGTTGCTCTTAATTGGGCAATCTTTTTATTGCAGTGGCAAAGTGAAGCATCTTGATAAACAATTATTTATAACACACATACTCAGTTTTGCCGAGATGTCATGACTATTTATTTCCATTATTATATTGTGCTATTACAAGCAAAAGCTGCCATGTGCTNACATAACTCAGTTTTGCCGAGATGTCATGACTATTTATTTCCATTATTATATTGTGCTATTACAAGCAAAAGCTGCCATGTGCTAATATAGAATGATATATTGTTGATCTTAAAACTTCAGAATCCTCAGAGAAGTTTGCATTATATGAAGAGAATGTTATTCTAGTAAACAATGCACCCCGATCCTTTGCTAATGTTGAGATCAGGAAATTGAATGCTAGATTCAACTTTTTGTATTGTTTATTTAGCAATCAATTTGTATATAGTTAAATATTTTTTATTAGCTGAATGTTTTCTTGCAGGCATGCATCGTCACTTTGTCCTTTATGGTCTATCTGAGTATCTTCGGAGGAGGTTTGTTCTGCATTAAGTTTCTATGTAAATTCTCCTGGAATTTCAAGTAAAGTTTTCTATAGTGATATAATGTTCCAGTTTTTCCTTTGTAAAACTTTCACACTCGAGGAACTTTTTGTCGCAGCTTTAATAGGCACTTCTCTTCTGATGATGTTTTGCAGTTGCTGGATCGTTTCTACAACCTGGAAATGCTGGTATATATTAGGGTAGTCAAGGATTGCATTATTTTATTCCCTAATTGATCACTCTTAACTGCACAAAATGGATAAAACAAGCGTTCTTCAAGTGTAACTACTACGACCTTGGATTTGCGTATGAATGTTGCTGCCACAAGTTATAAAATCTTATGTTCCCAGATCATCCGGAACAATGCTTGGTAATGGCTTTTAACAGCATCCTACCATACATTTTAGGATACATGTGGAAATAGAACAAATCTCACAAGTTGGTGGCTAACTTTGTAGACACCACCACTATTACTAAATGACTTGCAATTAGATTATTTTTCTTCAACCCAAAATATGAGGCCATCTGACAGTCAGGGATTTGAAGGCAAGTTCGGGTTCGAAGGCACCCACTCAATGTGTGTAAATTCGGATATGAAGTTTGTATGTACGACGTAGTTGACTTTTAGAGTATTGAGCCGTCATCTACTCTAAAAGTTTAAGCTGATAGACAGTGGGTAATAACACATGTATTTATCACATCCTTCTCCTCACTTGAGGTTCCTCTTGGGTGGTACGTCCACGTGGTTTTATTCTTGTTTTTGTCTAATAAAGGAGAATGCTTGATGCGATTTGAACTCAGGATCTCTAGACTTTGATACTATGTTAACCACCCTCCATTGATAGATAAGGGTGTAACATATGCATTTAATATTGAGCAAATTCACTTCAGGCGTTGCTCATATCGGACTGCAGTCCCCTAACCAAACAGGAATAATGATTAAAACTTGTGCAACCAATGATATATTTATCAGTGATGACTGCTGAGATAAGGGCAGTAGGGTGGTGCTTATTGCTCAGGTATGTTTCTTCAGAAAGAAGTCTTAATGGTGGGCTGGTGACACAATGGTAGTAGTCCTCTTAATTTTTTTGAGAGAGAGAGAGAGAGAGAGATTCTTTGTGTTTACTGTGCACATGTGTCTATTTTTGGANTTTGAGAGAGAGAGAGAGAGATTCTTTGTGTTTACTGTGCACATGTGTCTATTTTTGGACATGAAGCATGTTTTGTGTGTTCTCTAGAGATTTTAAATTCACTTTTGTATCTTTCTTTGTACTTAATTACCAAGAATTCTCCTTGAACTTGCATTTATAGAGGTTCGGAGATTGATATTTTCATTTACATTGCTTCTTTCTTTCTAAAATTTCAGAAGCCAGATGATGATGAGAACGAAATCCTGAATCAGGAGGAAGAGTTTTGCTTGCCACAAAGTTACTTCATGAAGGAAGAATCTTGACTTGCATAGTTTTGAAGTGTATTGAACATATTTTTTGTATGTTGATATATATGGTTGCCATGGTTATCTTCATCTTTCTTTGACATTTTTATAGTCATTCCATATGTGCCATTAAGCGTCACTGGATCACACGGCTTGCTTGGTAGTGTGTGGGATGGTGGATTTGTTTAATCCCTGCAATCCTAACTGAGGACGGGTTTTTGGAGTTAGCTTACCTTCGCGGAATCGCGACCCTTTGTCCCGGCCATAAGTTAGGCAATGAGAGTAGATTTTAATCCCAAGGTAGCTCAAGTAGTTCTTTGGAGTTAAGTTATAAGAGAATTATCCTTCATAAATACCTATTTCTAGTATGAAGGACTTACTTACCTTTGACTGAACTGGGGAGGAAAATAGTCGAAATAAGCAAAACTGATTCGGATATTCTTGACCACTGAACTAAAAAAATGGGAGCTTGGTAGGTTAAGATTTTATATATTGAGAAAGACTGTAGTATTGAATCTGATATCCTATCTGAAGAAGGATACAAGCAAACATGTATAAAAGACCCCCACAACTAATCAATGATTCGAGGGGTCTGAGTTATAATTAAAAATATTTAAATTAATTTTAAAATATTATAATTGATCCCCATTTTTTTTGAATTTGATTCCAACAAATATGCTGAGTCATAGACTTGAATTATTTGAGTTGAAATCATAAGCCGATAAGATGAATTATAAAGCAACTAGCAAGATTTGCAGGTCTAGCCTCAAATCTCAAATCTAAATGTAGGTGTGTGAAAATTTGTACATGCAAGCTAAAAATTCTGTTTCAATGCATAATACCTTCCATTAACATCTTTTCCCCACTTTCCACAAGTTGGCACTGCACCAATATTGACCCATTTGGAGCTGATTTTTTTTTTGGTACCAAATAGAAATTTGAAAAATAAAATGAAAAATTCAAAGTTGAAAAAAAAACTTTTTGAATTATTTCTTAAAAAACCAACTTTTCTTTGGAAGCTCTAGGATAAGTTTTATTTTTCAGTTTTTCTTTTGCGCGGATAAAAGTTGTTTATGTCAAAAAAGCTGTTAGAAATATCACCGAATAGAACCAAGNTTAAAAAACCAACTTTTCTTTGGAAGCTCTAGGATAAGTTTTATTTTTCAGTTTTTCTTTTGCGCTGATAAAAGTTGTTTATGTCAAAAAAGCTGTTAGAAATATCACCGAATAGAACCAAGTTCAAACGGAACATACTTCTTTTCCTCTTAAAAAAAAAACTAAAATTTTAAACTAGCTTCAAACAGCCCAATATCGTTAACGTGTGTGTGGGCGTGTGTGTGTGTGAGTGAGGGAGAGAGAGAGAGAGAACAAGGTTATTCATAAATGGTGGTTCACGAGAGGCAATGCTTCAAAGATAGTACTGTTTAAAGTTTGGATATGAACAATTGGATTCCATGTACAATAATATTTACCAACAGAACATAAAAGTATGTCAAAAGAAAAATGAAAATGGAGGACTTGGGACGAGAGCTGTATGAAATATTCNGAGGGAGAGAGAGAGAGAGAGAGAACAAGGTTATTCATAAATGGTGGTTCACGAGAGGCAATGCTTCAAAGATAGTACTGTTTAAAGTTTGGATATGAACAATTGGATTCCATGTACAATAATATTTACCAACAGAACATAAAAGTATGTCAAAAGAAAAATGAAAATGGAGGACTTGGGACGAGAGCTGTATGAAATATTCTTACATATGATTTGATGGCTATTGACACCCCTCTCCCCTCAACAAAAAAAATGCAGTTGTTCAGTACAAAACATAATTCCAATAACAAAAACTATCTAAATATGACACAAAAATTGCAGAAAAAATTGGGATGAATGAATTGCCACAAACTCCTTTAGGACAAAAAAAAAAAAAAAACCCTACTTCTGCAGCAAGCCTTCCTCTAATCTACAGCTTAACAATTCCGGTTACTATGTTGAGCATTATTAGATCTGCCATAACAGCTAGCCAAGAATGAAAGGAAGACTTTGTCCCATAACTTGTGCCCTGGTACAGAAAATCATAAGTCCTGAATCATTATTTCCTCCATTGTCTTGAAAAACTTCCATTTATGGATAAATTGGGTTCAGTTTAGCAAAGTTCTATAGTCTTAGAATAAACTTCACATCAGATGATTTTCATGATTTGACCCAGAGAATTGCAGCTGCATGTGGATTCATTGCTGGCTAGGTGGGGGAGTATGTGTGTGTGAGTTATATATTAAACACACACTTTCCTAAGTGTAATGGCAGGTTCAGAGAAATTACCAGAGTTAGAAAAAATTGGACCGTCCTAGGAAGGAAGAAACCTCTCATTGCTGAATCATTCATTTTCTCACAAATGGCTTCTGGCAAATGAGTAGCCGCTGATCGCTGCCATTCTCAAGATCAATCACCCTTGCTTCCCAACGGATCTGTGTAGCAAGCATGCGTGCCTTTTCTATAGGCCCCAGTTTATCAGAAAGAATAACCCATCCCTACCACAAACCATAATCATATGAACATTGACTGTTTAATCACTTAAATTGCTACACAGAAGCAAGATATAAACATAAGGATATATCTATCTTAGACTTAATACTAGTACTACTGATGATGATACTAACAACATTAATTGTAATAATAACAATAATAATGAAGAAGAACAAGAAGAAGAATACCAAAAAAGGATCTGTCCTTTTTAAGATGCACTTTTGGAAGTTTTGATTGAAGGAAAAAATTTACAGCCACTATTCGAAGATTCTAGGAAACAATATTTAAAAGCAAAATAAATGACATTTTAGGCAGCAGCAATCAAAAACGAAAAAAAGTCAATAGAAATTACCTCAGGGCGTAAAATACGATCTATCTCAAAAAGAAAGTCTGTGATACTACATCCCTCTGAAGTAAGGTGTGTAAGGGCCCCATTTGCATGAAGCATGTCATATGTCCGGGGGTATGTAGGGAAGGGTTCACACCTGTTCCCAATTAATGAGTAAAACATTAAACTCAGCACAACATTACAATTCTTTGAACCAAGATTTGTATGTTCATGATACTAAATGTCTGGCAGATGATGAAATCTTCATAAAATGACCAAAATTTCAAGACGCGAATCCCACAGATAGAAACAAGGGTGTGCATGAGGACGACACGATAGTAAACGTTCAAAATCTATTATATGAACCATTCAAAAATACATTCTATGACTTTGAGTTCGCCCGCAGAAGCATAACTCATTGTTCATGTTTATGGAAGTTGAAATTCATGTCTGCAAATATTGAGAGTCCTAACACAGTGTGGAACCATGACCACAGTTCGATTGTCACAAAATCTTTTAAAATTAATGATTATCTGAAGATCATAAAAACAAAACGTTATCTTTTAAGTTTGGCAGTTTAACTACATAACTTCACCATGAAATAAGGACGCTAGATGTCAAAATCAACACATAATTATTATACTTACCATATTACATAACTAGTCATTGCCTGTGTCTGAAGACACTATACAACAAACAAATGAAATCTTAAATAATTACCCAAATTTAAAAGGAATGACTTAAAAATATTCATACCAATTCTTTTTTTAAATAACTCAAAACTATTTGTTGGCCATATCCTTCGTATTAATGACACTGTCATAAAAATATGTAAAAACTCTCAAAAACAATACCAACACCATATATACAAATGCCTCTAGAAAAAAAAAATACTAACATAACCCCATGGAAAATTACAATTTTTAAGCAATAAATAAAATTTTGCTCATTTATAAGATTCACAAATTTATCACTTCTATTACCACTCAATCCAATAAGATAACATAATTATAAACTCAACTACTATATTTTTAATCCACCCTATCCCCATGTAATAAATACCTCAAGTAAAAAAAAAATACTAATAGAATACAATTAAATTCACAATCTTTGAGCGATAAATAAAATCAACCAAATCTTACTAATTTATAAAATTTATCAATTTTATCACTATTCAACTCTAAATGACACAATATCATTACAAATTTAATCATTAAATGTTCAATTCCTCACATATAAATATACACAGAAAAACACCCACACACATTTCTTTTTTAGTTACCAAAAAATCCTCCTAACCAATAACTACTCAAGTTTTTAATATATACTAATAAAAAAAAATTAATGTTTAATTAAAAAACAGGATCAAAATCATGGATATTCCTTGAGTTTTGACAATATTACATGGATAGCTTCTAACATTTTGTAAATAACATGGAAATCCACTGAAGTTTGAATTCATTACCTAGAGACCCCTCTGTCTCCTTTCTGTCAATGTTGATAATGAAAATTGATAATTTCATCTCAAAAAATTTTATTAATTTTACAATTGTCCTTTTCTAAATTTAGTACCAAAAAACTTAAAAATTTAATAAAATCAAATAAAATTTAATTTAGTACCCAAAAAATTGATTAAATGAATTTTAATATTAATTTGATAACAATAAAAATTAATTTGATATTAATTCGACAAAATTTAATATAAATTGGAAAAAGTTAAATGTCAATTTTATATAAAATTATATATTGATTTACAATTTAAGGTTCATTTCATGTTGAATATTATTTAGTGTTTATAATCAACGTGCTATTTTTTATTTATTTATATTGAGTGTTATTTACAAATGAAAAAGCATGTGAAAAAATACATGTTGTCATATATATANTTCACCCTATCCCCATGTAATAAATACCTCAAGTAAAAAAAAAATACTGATAGAATACAATTAAATTCACAATCTTTAAGCGATAAATAAAATCAACCAAATCTTACTAATTTATAAAATTTATCAATTTTATCACTATTCAACTCTAAATGACACAATATCATTACAAATTTAATCATTAAATGTTCAATTCCTCACATATAAATATACACAGAAAAACACCCACACACATTTCTTTTTTAGTTACCAAAAAATCCTCCTAACCAATAACTACTCAAGTTTTTAATATATACTAATAAAAAAAAATTAATGTTTAATTAAAAAACAAGATCAAAATCATGGATATTCCTTGAGTTTTGACAATATTACATGGATAGCTCCTAACATTTTATAAATAACATGGAAATCCACTGAAGTTTGAATTCATTACCTAGAGACCCCTCTGTCTCCTTTCTGTCAATATTGATAATGAAAATTGATAATTTCATCTCAAAAAATTTTATTACTTTTACAATTGTCCTTCTCTAAATTTAGTACCAAAAAACTTAAAAATTTAATAAAATCAAATAAAATTTAATTTAGTACCCAAAAAATTGATTAAATGAATTTTAATATTAATTTGATAACAATAAAAATTAATTTGATATTAATTCGACAAAATTTAATATAAATTGGAAAAAGTTAAATGTCAATTTTATATAAAATTATATATTGATTTACAATTTAAGGTTCATTTCATGTTGAATATTATTTAGTGTTTATAATCAACGTGCTATTTTTTATTTATTTATATTGAGTGTTATTTACAAATTAAAAAGCATGTGACAAAATACATGTTGTCATATATATAAAAACTTTGAATTAGTTTCATAGAATAAATAATTTTATAAGATATAGTTTCATTTGTTTTATGGAGTAAATAATAACAAAAATAACACCGAAGAAACAAAAAAAAAAGATAATAGTATGAGAGAGAAAGAGAGAGAATTATATGAGAGTTGGGAGTCTTAGAGTTATACAAAGAATGAAAGACCAATTAGGACCATCGGATCAAAACGATATGAGCCGCGAAAAGTTTAAGACAAACAATCTAGCTACTTTATTATATAGATTTTCGTTAAAAAATAGNTTCGAAACGATTGAAACATCCGAAACGTTTCCGTTTTGAAGGAGACCGAAACAAATCAGTGATGGAATCGAAATTCTAATACTTCGAGGTGTTCTATAATGTTTCGAAATGTTTTGTTATATTTTAATGCATTTGCACAATTATTTCAGAATGTTTTAAAATATTTTTGTATATTTCGANTCAAGACAAACAATCTAACTACTTTATTATATAGATTTTCGTTAAAAAATAGTAAACGAGAAAAGATTCATTTAAAAGTTATGATGACTCTAAAAATAAGCGAATTCTAAAACCAAAGAGGCTATTTCTCTTATGAGTCCCAGATAGCTGCAAGACTGCGNTTAAGACAAACAATCTAGCTACTTTATTATATAGATTTTCGTTAAAAAATAGAAAACGAGAAAAGATTCATCTAAAAGTTATGATGACTCTAAAAATAAGCGAATTCTAAAACCAAAGAGGCTATTTCTCTTATGAGTCCCAGATAGCTGCAAGACTGCGAGTGGGACGCCTGCACATCTTCAAGTAAAATTTGCCAAAAAGAAACCAATATCCCTAAGCTGATACAAGCAATATCAAAAAATCTCAATCAAACATCTTACCAGCTATGCAAAACACCCGCAAAACCTTGATCAAGTATGAGAGGAAGAGTATTTCGCACCCCCAAGGGCACAACATTCATCACCCACACTGATTTTCTTGCTTCCAGTAATGCAGCATTGAAACCCCCATAATGAGCGTTCATGTCCATCACATTCCGTATCATGTTATACGGAGGTAAAGGATCTTCATCGCCTGGCCTCTTTGGATGGTCAGAGAAAATCAAGGGTGTAAGCAAAGACCAATAGTTGCTTACAGCTGACCTCCAAAACTGCAAGTCTTCAAAAAAATCTTCAGGATCAACCCCTGCAAATATCAGGAATAAATCAATACATTGAGACGCCAGAGGATTATTTGTAGAAGTCTTAGTGAAAGTGTTGACTGTCTTTTCTTTCTTGGCCTCATTGCTTTGAAGTTGTGGTATAGAGCATTTAGGAGGTAAGCTTGGAGTGGGTGATCCAACAGAACCGTTCCCCTGTTTGTGGAAGCTTATGGTGATTTTGGGAAAAGGTAGTAGGGCCTCTGTACTTTGCGATTGGGTTTCATATGTGGTATGGTGGTTTTATTATAAGAGGAGATTAAACACAAAGAAAAATGGAGGTATGTAGCATCAATCACTCAAAAAGCAAATGCGTCACCAATGCAAAAGATTGCATTAAAACAATACTTTCCATGATTTTGAAGCTCTGCTGAGCTCAGGGAACCAGAAGACCTGTTTTGAATGGGAATCCAACGTTTGCTAGTGGATCCACTTATACAAGGTGTGAGTGGCTGATAATAGGATTGCACATCCTCTCCATCTTTACAAGGAGGTATAGCACCCAGCTTGCTAAATAAAGAACCATAACCAAAAGCACATTAGAGGGTTTTTTTTCTGAGAAATAATAGAGAAAAAAAGAAAGAAACAAAAAAAAGGGAAGAATAAAAGTGACTTACACTACACAACACAATCAAAGCGGTAATGACAGTAGATGAATAACGGTTCATACTTCCAACCACCCACCTCCGTCCCTCACCCACAACCAAGGATCAAAATATCGTTTCGAAACGATTGAAACATCCGAAACGTTTCCGTTTTGAAGGAGACCGAAATAAATCAGTGATGGAATCGAAATTCTAATACTTCGAGGTGTTCTATAATGTTTCGAAATGTTTTGTTATATGTTAATGCATTTGCACAATTATTTCAGAATGTTTTAAAATATTTTTGTATATTTCGACTAGTGTTTTGAAAAAAGAATTCTTAAAGTTTTTATTTTTTTTTTATTTTGTTTTCGAAATGGGTTGAAACGTTTCCGAAACACGTTGAAACGTTTCCATTTCCTCAGTGACCGAAACGAAATTTTGATCCTTGCCCCCAACACAAGCGTATAGATACGATGGAATGTTTGCAGAAGAGTGTGTATCCTTGGATTAGCTTACCTCGATATATAGCATTCAGCATCCACCGTCTTCTGCCAGATAAAAGTCTCTTCTTGCTGAGCCAAAAGACTCCAACAAAGCTTATGGGTGAATTCTTCAATTGGGGTCAACAAGCTTCGCGAACTTCCATGTCGACTGCTTGTAGGTGAGGTTAAAACAAAGTAACCTCCAGGCTTGAGTAGCCTGTCAACTTCAATCTGGAACATCCCATCTGATTCAAGACATCATCAACAGAGAGATAAAAAATTAACATTTCCAAATTAAAAAATTACTGCTCCAAGGCATGACAAGTTGACATCAGCTTATGATTTGCATGGAAACTCTTTTTCTTTCAGAAAGAATAGAATCCAACAGATTTTAAGCAAGAGGGGAAGGAGAAAGTACTACAAGATTTTTTTTTTTTGGTTAACTAAAACAAACTCCTCTCTCCCTCTAATAAAAAAATTCTCAATTATGCCGACTCAGTGATCTGTCTCTCCCCGATGTATTCTCTCTCCACAATCTTTATCTTTCCAGATAAAACCACTAACCAGAGACAAACTCTGTTCAGTCAAATCTAAAAAGCAATGCGTCATCGCCAAAACAGTTTGCCAAATTTGGCATATATCAAAAACCTCCGTTGTCAATATATTGGTTAATGTATCGGGCAAAGATCACAAGCAATTCTCTCTCTCTCTCTCTGTGAGATTGATGACCTGAGCAAGTATTAGAAATAATCCAGTGAAAATACAAGATTACTTTTTCTTCTTTCCTTTTTTGGGTAAGCAGATCACGATCACAGGATTTAAACATCCTCAAATCAAAAATCCATGTGAGAAGCGACTAAGGCATTCCAAGACCACATTCGATTGCACTAAATCTAAATTTGACCAACAAAAAAGAAGAAAACATGCATCTATTTTCACTTATTATTACTTGACCAAAGTATTCTAAATAAGGTGTCCACGAGAATGTAGAACGTTTGCATATTGCAAACAAAATTTAAAATCTTATGTTCACCCTGAAAGTGACAAGTCTCTACATACTTGCAAAAGTAAATCGTCAAAAACATTATGTTTCTAGCGTGGCAGCAAGACAACAGTTTCTTAAGCTGCAGATCAAGTTTTTCCAGGGAAAGGGGAAAGTTTTCTTTCATACATAAGGAGCCTTCCAAGCAATATGTGGCTAGTACATTAGAGACAATATCCTTACTCGTGGTAGATGACACATGGTTACATTGAATGAGAGAGTTCTACTGAAGATTTGAGCTAAAAGACCACAATGTGTGGTATGATAAGTACATAACATATTTACTCAACAAAGAAAATGCAAGCCACAAACTGATCATATAGATTCCAAATTCTTGATGTTTCATTTTAAAAGGATTTGACATTCATTAATCATTTCAACAATCACAACACTCTTGATCTTGTAATTTTAGGTAATCTAATGACTGNTTCAATCTGGAACATCCCATCTGATTCAAGACATCATCAACAGAGAGATAAAAAATTAACATTTCCAAATTAAAAAATTACTGCTCCAAGGCATGACAAGTTGACATCAGCTTATGATTTGCATGGAAACTCTTTTTCTTTCAGAAAGAATAGAATCCAACAGATTTTAAGCAAGAGGGGAAGGAGAAAGTACTACAAGATTTTTTTTTTTTGGTTAACTAAAACAAACTCCTCTCTCCCTCTAATAAAAAAATTCTCAATTATGCCGACTCAGTGATCTGTCTCTCCCCGATGTATTCTCTCTCCACAATCTTTATCTTTCCAGATAAAACCACTAACCAGAGACAAACTCTGTTCAGTCAAATCTAAAAAGCAATGCGTCATCGCCAAAACAGTTTGCCAAATTTGGCATATATCAAAAACCTCCGTTGTCAATATATTGGTTAATGTATCGGGCAAAGATCACAAGCAATTCTCTCTCTCTCTCTCTCTCTCTGTGAGATTGATGACCTGAGCAAGTATTAGAAATAATCCAGTGAAAATACAAGATTACTTTTTCTTCTTTCCTTTTTTGGGTAAGCAGATCACGATCACAGGATTTAAACATCCTCAAATCAAAAATCCATGTGAGAAGCGACTAAGGCATTCCAAGACCACATTCGATTGCACTAAATCTAAATTTGACCAACAAAAAAGAAGAAAACATGCATCTATTTTCACTTATTATTACTTGACCAAAGTATTCTAAATAAGGTGTCCACGAGAATGTAGAACGTTTGCATATTGCAAACAAAATTTAAAATCTTATGTTCACCCTGAAAGTGACAAGTCTCTACATACTTGCAAAAGTAAATCGTCAAAAACATTATGTTTCTAGCGTGGCAGCAAGACAACAGTTTCTTAAGCTGCAGATCAAGTTTTTCCAGGGAAAGGGGAAAGTTTTCTTTCATACATAAGGAGCCTTCCAAGCAATATGTGGCTAGTACATTAGAGACAATATCCTTACTCGTGGTAGATGACACATGGTTACATTGAATGAGAGAGTTCTACTGAAGATTTGAGCTAAAAGACCACAATGTGTGGTATGATAAGTACATAACATATTTACTCAACAAAGAAAATGCAAGCCACAAACTGATCATATAGATTCCAAATTCTTGATGTTTCATTTTAAAAGGATTTGACATTCATTAATCATTTCAACAATCACAACACTCTTGATCTTGTAATTTTAGGTAATCTAATGACTGGAATACCAAGAATCACCTAACCACATGGTAAGCTAGCTGATGCCATGGAGAAATCTTTCAAGAACAGAACACTGAAGAATCTCAACCATGTCTTCTTGTCATTACGATTGTTTACGATCAAGGTGATGAAGGTTTATGGAAGGGACATGTATATATTGCCACATATGGCTAAAAATAATTGGAGTTACAATTTCGATGTCAACATAATGTCAGGAAGAAAGTGTTTGTTCTACTATGATAATTCTATTTCGGAGTGTAATCTGGTTGGAGCAAATTTCTTTTTCTCTATTCTTTTTATAATCTTCCTTGTGGTCTTTGTCATTTAAATCCTTTCCTCGAATGTATTTTATATACAGTAAATGAGTTCTATACATAGTAACATACTAAATTCAAAGTCTTGCTATTCTTATATTTAGAGTTGAAAGCTGATTAGGTCAAAAAAGTTTTTCTTTTTTTAAGTCCGTTTCATATGCTCTTCTTCCTTTTAGTCTTCTGTTTTCAAGTGATTTCATGACAATGTTCAAGAAGTAGCATGGTGGGCGCCGTATTGATGTCTTGCTCCTACTTGTTTAGTTTATTAACTTGTTATCAATCCCATCTAATAAATGTAATCCAAAAAGTTATGAAAATGGCACATTTAATTTACAAAGTGGAAAATAGTTAGGAGACATAAAAGGAAAATGAAAAGTTTGGGACGGAGTGAGCAATTACTAGACTAACTTTGTCTTTGTGTTTGTATGCCCTCATGTGCATGTGCAAGCTCTTTTGATAAGGATACAAGTATCACTAAACAATATATGTAAGCTCAATATCAAACCACGGGGGACCTCTTGGTTTTCGCACATATATGGCATCGTCTTCTCATACTTAACCTCTTCATGCTAGAATTTAAATTCAGGAAACAACACTTTAAATGACAATATCTCATGCATACCGGTTGAATCAACAACAATTCACATAACGAATATATATGGCCCACAAAACTTCACATTTTCAATAATAATACCCCGTAGAGCAACAAAGTTTAGAAAGGGCGGATACCGATGCATCAACATTGACAAATCATTTCTAGGATTATGGTTTTACTGTCACATTATCATAAACCTCAAATCATTAAATGTCACTGGTTTTACTTCAAAGCTAAAAATGTTATTTTGTTAAAATCAAGACCTAATTGTTTTTATCAATTTTCTAAACCTTGTCTAGGTTTGGAAGAAGTTCTTGATTGGGCTTGTTTGCTCACCCTTTCCTTTAACATTTTTCAGATTTTTAGTTTGGAGAATATAATATCTTAAGTGAGCATGTGGACTATGGGATTGAAGCGGATCAAGATGTGGATTCGGCGTTGGAAGAATAGCGAGTTGTTTCATTGGGTTCTAGTTTTAAATTTGTGAATTTTATTTATTGAACAATGTTTATGAATATTCCTTTTCTTAGTTAGTTGGTAGATAATCACTTTGGTTTTGCATTTAAACTCAAGGATTCATTTATGTTTGATTTGAGATTTTTGTTTAGCTAGAAGATGTTGGTAATTGTTATTGATTTAGTTTATGGTGCTGTAGTTATGTTCTCATGGTTGATGGTTATAATTTAGTTCATGCCTATATTGTAGAAATTGGGGCGTGACAAGTTTTTCACTTGTGTATGTTGCAAACTATAATCAGAGCTCATCTAACCATAGTTGTCAAATCGTGTATCGGAAGGCGTATCGTCTTTCAAAAATAGTGTATCGTATCGTATCGTGTATCGTAAGATACGCGCAATTTAATTTTTAAATAATTATTAATATATATACCTTTGTAAAAAAAATATAGACTCATAATAATATAGCATTTCATTAATATTCCACAAATTATTCGAGTTTTCAGCANTATCGTGTATCGTAAGATACGCGCAATTTAATTTTTAAATAATTATTAATATATATACCTTTGTAAAAAAAATATAAACTCATAATAATATAGCATTTCATTAATATTCCACAAATTATTCGAGTTTTCAGCATAGTTCAGTAATATCAAAATGCAAAGACCTCTAATTCAAACTTCTAACATCAACAATTTGAATAACTTTAATATTAATCAGAATTTTGAATTCAATTGAATAACATTAACAACATACTTTATTTTATTTTTTTAAACCACAACTACTAAAACAATGTTGTTTCACTGGTTAGTGATTTAAAAATAAGTCTTAGGGTAAAACAATGTCATTTTAGCCCCAAAACATCAAAAAATAAAAAATAAAAAAACAGAATCGTCATGTATCGGACGTATTGAGTCGTATCATACATATCGTATCGTGCATCATACGATACGGTACAAAAACGATACAGAGACACGATACGTATCGTTTTTTAGGTGTATCGTGACGTATCGTACGATACGTATCGCGACGTATCGTACGATACTAATAACTATGCATGTAACTACAACAAAGTCCAAAGCCGTCAATAACATTCCATGCTTTACAACTTGACATAATAATTTCGTAATATAAGTAAATGAACGTACATTTATGTCAGCAAAAAAATTAATGAGAGTCAAGCTATAGAAAGTAATCTAATTCTATATGGGCAAAGAAATTATCTCCCCCACAGTNTAATGAGAGTCAAGCTATAGAAAGTAATCTAATTCTATATGGGCAAAGAAATTATCTCCCCCACAGTCCAACTATAATTTATACTATTTATAAATGATAGCATTTATGAAAAAATTTTAATTTTCTATTTTATCCTTAATTATTATTATAAAGTCAATTCTACCCAACCCACATATTTGCTTTCATCTAATTTTTAATGTTTTCTATAGCTATTAGACTTCTAAGTTCTTTTAGACTATTTTATTAGTACTATTTGACTTCTAAATTATTTTGAACTCATTTATTGGTAGTATACTTAGAAACAATTTCTATATCTATATCTATTTATACAAAAAAATAAAAGTCAATCTATATTCTATTATTATATACATGTTAGCAAATTAAATTTTATAGTCAAATATATGTCACATTTAATTTTTTTTATATGCAACAATATCATAATATTATGATACAAACAATAGTTTACAATTTTATCAATCTCTTTGACAATAAAATATAATAATATATTTAATGTATAAATACTCAAGAATGACAATTTTACAATAAAACTTCACTATACAGAAAAGAGAAAATGTTTAAAGAAGTCAGAAAGATGCCAAAAAAATTGCAAATTAAATACACGAAGAAGAGTAGAGTAGATCAATAATTCGGTTTAGTAATAATTAATATAAGATTTAATTATTCGACATAATTTNCGAAGAAGAGTAGAGTAGATCAATAATTCGGTTTAGTAATAATTAATATAAGATTTAATTATTCGACATAATTTATTATTCAAATAATTACAGATATAAGTTAATTTTTTTATAAAAAAAAATTTCTTTAAATATATTCACATGCAACGCATGTCGTGAATTGCTAGGAAGCTATAAGAATGTCAACAATCCAATTGTTGTAAAGCCTTGTCGAAATCTATCATCATCTAAATTTATAGTAAGTAAAATAATTTCATTTTCAATAGTTCACTTTGCCAACAGATTCATTAGATACTTCTTCTCTAACAGTGTTTCTGTCTATATTTTTACCTCTTTGTTTTGTGACTTTTTTCACAGTCAAGCAGGATAAAGGAGCAGAAGACGAAGAGAAAAATCTGTGTAGGTTTTGGTAATGGTTGTTCCTGAGGCAGCTAGGATGAGCTTAAAAATGGGTTTGGCTTTACAAGTGTTATAGCAGGACAGTGGCAGTTATAGCAGTGCTAAAAGCATATACGAGAGGCAGAGGAAGGGTCAGCATGTTTTTTGTCAGGGTGGGNACAACATACTTTATTTTATTTTTTTAAACCACAACTACTAAAACAATGTTGTTTCAGTGGTTAGTGATTTAAAAATAAGTCTTAGGGTAAAACAATGTCATTTTAGCCCCAAAAAATCAAAAAATAAAAAATAAAAAAACAGAATCGTCATGTATCAGACGTGTTGAATCGTATCATACATATCGTATCGTGCATCATACGATACGGTACAAAAACGATATAGAGACACGATACGTATCGTTTTTTAGTAATAACTATGTGACGTATCGTACGATATGTATCGCGACGTATCGTACGATACTAATAACTATGCATGTAACTACAACAAAGTCCAAAGCCGTCAATAACATTCCACGCTTTACAACTTGACATAATAATTTCGTAATATAAGTAAATGAACGTACATTTATGTCAGCAAAAAAATTAATGAGAGTCGAGCTATAGAAAGTAATCTAATTCTATATGGGCAAAGAAATTATCTCCCCCACAGTCCAACTATAATTTATACTATTTATAAATGATAGCATTTATGAAAAAATTTTAATTTTCTATTTTATCCTTAATTATTATTATAAAGTCAATTCTACCCAACCCACATATTTGCTTTCATCTAATTTTTAATGTTTTCTATAGCTATTAGACTTCTAAGTTCTTTTAGACTATTTTATTAGTACTATTTGACTTCTAAATTCTTTTGAACTCATTTATTGGTAATATACTTAGAAACAATTTCTATATCTATATCTATTTATACAAAAAAATAAAAGTCAATCTATATTCTATTATTATATACATGTTAGCAAATTAAATTTTATAGTCAAATATATGTCACATTTAATTTTTTTTATATGCAACAATATCATAATATTATGATACAAACAATAGTTTACAATTTTATCAATCTCTTTGACAATAAAATATAATAATATATTTAATGTATAAATACTCAAGAATGACAATTTTACAATAAAACTTCACTATACAGAAAAGAGAAAATGTTTAAAGAAGTCAGAAAGATGCCAAAAAAATTGCAAATTAAATACACGAAGAAGAGTAGAGTAGATCAATAATTCGGTTTAGTAATAATTAATATAAGATTTAATTATTCGACATAATTTATTATTCAAATAATTACAGATATAAGTTAATTTTTTTATAAAAAAAAATTTCTTTAAATATATTCACATGCAAAGCATGTCGTGAATTGCTAGGAAGCTATAAGAATGTCAACAATCCAATTGTTGTAAAGCCTTGTCGAAATCTATCATCATCTAAATTTATAGTAAGTAAAATAATTTCATTTTCAATAGTTCACTTTGCCAACAGATTCATTAGATACTTCTTCTCTAACAGTGTTTCTGTCTATATTTTTACCTCTTTGTTTTGTGACTTTTTTCACAGTCAAGCAGGATAAAGGAGCAGAAGACGAAGAGAAAAATCTGTGTAGGTTTTGGTAATGGTTGTTCCTGAGGCAGCTAGGATGAGCTTAAAAATGGGTTTGGCTTTACAAGTGTTATAGCAGGACAGTGGCAGTTATAGCAGTGCTAAAAGCATATACGAGAGGCAGAGGAAGGGTCAGCATGTTTTTTGTCAGGGTGGGGGTGCTGTAGGAGGAATTCCCCAATAAGTCAAGAGGTAATCAAACCAGTTGAAAGTCATCATAATGACAACAATAAAAATGAGCAACAAAATAACAATAAAGAAATATGCTCCACCAGTTTAGCCTTCTTGTCCAACCATCCATGCAGTAGTTAGGATTAAGAGTCTAGTCATATTCCACAGAACATGACTCATAAATTTCAGTTGCATCACTTGACAAAAATTTCAGTTATGTCTTCACTAGTATGATGAACATGTGAAACTGTATGAATGAAAAATAGATATACATTAACAATTATAAAGCTTACGAGTTATGAAAGCAAACAGAAAAAAAAACAAAAAAAAAAAGAAGATCCAGGAGATCAAGGAACAATCAATTGCCATCTAAATGGAATAAATTGATGGGATTAACCCATGATAGAAGTTTTTGATGCAGAAGACCAGTAGTACATCTTACATGGGAAGTATTCTTCTGATTCAGGAATAGCTCCCAGTGTCAGTTTCTCTATTTTAGAAAATAAAATAACCGCAAAAATTTGAAGACTTTTAAAGTTGATCTCAGTATCCCAGTAATTGTAATGTATTATGAAGTAGTGACAATATTTAACAGCGTTAACAATGAAGGTAATCATGTATCCATTTTGGCACAAAACCACCTGATATTGGCTTCCCCTTTCAAGACTTGAACTATGCAAAAGAGAGTGAAATACTAAAATCGGTGCTGAGGTATATGGAAGTGGGCTTATGGCGACGGTAGAAAGAAAAGAAATTTAGTTTACATATTTAATCGAGCAAAAACAAAAGTGCATCAATCAGGAAAGTACTGACTATTTATTGCATGTATGGCACCCAGAAGGAGGCTCATGCATCAAACTAATCTTAAGTTAGTGGGGAGTTACAATCCTAGAACAACAAATCTAACTATACCTTTACTGTCCCAGAGGATACCACACTTAGCACAGTGAACAAGGTCATAAGATAATGATGGAAATGGAAGCTGTCTTGAAATGAAGTTTCCAATAACTGCGGGAAGACCTCTCTCAAGGGCTAGCTGAACTTGGCTGCCTGTTAACTCATATGCCGCAATACAAACAGCCATTAACTTAAGTGAGATCATGTGAGCCCCAAAGCTACCAAAGCCACAGCCAATATCTAGTACGCTACGCACCTGTCATTAACACAAAAGAAAGCTCTAGAATACAACATACAGCGGTGCTGTAATATATGGTTGAAAGAGAAAGAAGGCAAATATGTACAGTACTTTGACAAGCAAGTATCCACTATCTGTAGACTACAAGAAGACATATTTAAAAAATACCAGCCCCTCCAACTAAGCTATCAAAGGGGAACGATTGAAATAAAAGTAGATCTTACACCAACTTGAAGAAATTCGGAGTCACTTCCCAACCCTATCATTTCTGCAATTTGGCGAGAGTAATCTTTGACACCGTCAACAATCATTCCATCATCTGAGTGAAAAGCAATTTGATTCTCTTCTAATAACATTAACCTGTAGAATTTGCAGAAGTACATCAAAAGGGGGGCATATATAAAAATGCACTAGCAAAACCAATATGGAACCTTGAAAACACTGCATATAAATTTCAGTCACAGAGTCTCAAATAACTATTGCAAAGAAAACAGAGTGAAATTAACATTTCCCTAAATTCTATAACATCACAACCGGATTTCAACAAGAAAAAAATACCTTTTCGTCATGCTTCCAGAAGATAGGAATTGGTCTTTGGATATCTTCACATTGCCACTCCATATCACATCCCTACCAGCTGGCCAACTTAGGGGTATCTTATAGTCCTTAGGAGGACGAACCAAACAGTGTTGTCGCTCTCGTGATACTTCACAATGCCGATCGAACTCCTCACCATCTTTAAACCCAGCTAACAAATTCCTAGAGATATTATAGCAAGGCACATAATTTTCTCTTTCTTTGCCACAAAGAGTAAACTCCTTTTGACCAGTAGCTCCAACAGCCAGACTTCTTAGCTCCAAATAATCACTAGCCGCTTGCTCCTTTAGCCTTCTAGAGTTTGAATAAATGTCAGGTCTTGTAGTGGAAGTCACAGAGTCAAAGGTACTTGAAGAAGATGAACACAACAATCCAATTAGAACAAAAACACTAACAAGACAAACAAGTAACCAGTTGAGTGGCGGTCTGGGGCCGAAGATTAGAGACAGTTTATTAAACCAGGAGCTTCTCATGTCCAAATTGTGCAAACACCTTTAACAGATGACCCCAGGAAGAAACCACAACGTTGACCTATTGCTTTAACCTAGATATCCAAGAAACACAAGGACCATAACCTATCATAACAGATGAGCTCTTATATGTATTCAGGAGAAACTGAGCAATTCTAGAGGCAGTGAAACAACCACCCTCTTCCTTTATTGTGCCCCATCAGAGTCACTTAACTATGACATCAAAACCTTCAAGTCCACCGACTAACCATCCAAACCAAATTCCAAAAAAAAAAAAAAAGCAATTCAGATGACAAAGTATCCCTTCAATGCTCAATAGAAATCGACAACCACTGGTGCAAATTCGAAAACTTAAAGAAATTGAACCAATCGCAAAACCAAACAATGCCAACTTTTTTATAAAACGAACCGCACTTTCTCACATTCCAACCAATACAATCACGTAACGCCAATTCAACAAAGCAAGTCCCTCCAGATCACCCTGCAAAATTGCATCAACAACGAATCACAAAGTCACCCCCATTAAGTCGATAATCGCAATTGACGCCGCATTTCATTTCAACAATTTAGAGTAGAATTACATTCAGATCTCAAAACACAGATCAAATCGAAAGGAAAATTATAATAGCAAAATTGAACCAATCACTGAGATAACAATGGCATATTCAAAAACACTGACTCAAAATGTAGTTAGGGTTTTGGCATACCAGGCCGTTCTAGTGGGACGTATATATGTATATGTATATGTACTTGTATAGACGAACGTTGAGAAAGCTCCGAAGAGTTCTAATCCGCCATTGACATGGAGAGAGAGAGAGAGAGAGAGAGAGAGAGAGAGAGAGAGAGCGTGCAGCTTTTGAGGGGTTTAATATTCAGATCCACTGGCTCGCAGAATTAGATAGAAAATTAATGGTAAAAGAGGAATAATTGTGATATTTAATGTTTCTCCTCATCATTTGATGACAACCCAAAACAACCAAACACTGACAACATTTACACTGAATTTCACACTCAGATTTAACCGCGCCATACGTGTCTCTATCACTTATTTTTCTACTTGACTATTTTACCCCCCCAAAAAAAATTGATATATTCTTGATAAATTTTAAAGTTAATCTCAACTACCTCAAAAGATTACTTAAATTTTATTTTATGTTTTTAAAATAATTTTTTAAAATATTAATTTATATCTTAATATTCAAAAAAAAAATTATGAATATTGAAGTTAACTGTTGTTCATTTCGCTATTAAAAAAGTTTAGACTAATTATAATTGAACCATCAAAGTTTAAATATTTCATATTTATAATCCAAACCAAACACAATTTCATCCATTAATGTTCATTGAATAGCTTTCAATTGTCGTGTAGTAAAATTTTTGTGTCATGTTTGTATTTTTTTGATGACTTTAGGTATTTTTATCATTTTATAGAATTATTTTTATCATTTTTCTTTGGTATAAAAAAATTATTATTTTTGTAGGTATTTTTATTTGTATTGTGGATATTTTTACCACAGTCGTGGAACTATTTTATCACTTTTGTTGCTATATTTTATAAGTATTTTTATCATTATTATAATAAATATTTTTACTTTTATTTTCTTCAGCATCACAAACAAATGAAAAAAATACCCACATAAATAATAAATATCAATATAATACAAAAATAAAAAATAAAAATTGGTACCGTAGACAACTGTCTTATTTTTTGAATTGATTTTTCGTTTTAATGACAACAAAGTCAGAGAAAATATTGTTGATGAAAATGTCATTATTTTGATGGGCAACACCTCGGAATGTTGACCTTGTGAATGATTGATTTATATGTACAACGTTCGATTTGAATTATTTTCTAAGCAGTAGGAGTTAGTTGACAATAATAGTAAGGATCGTGTCTTGCCTGTCAATTAATTTGTTAATGTTTTTGCCAAATGGAGGATTCTCTTGGCCAGGCCTCAACGTTGGTTGCAATCCGGGTAGCTGCAACGTTAAGTTTGATGTGACCAAAAACCAAAACCAATATAACAACGTTGGTTATATCGCGTTACATCATATAGCATCACGTATAATAATATAATATGGAGAGAGATTCAATCACTCGGGATATCTAAAATAATTTTTTAATATTATATTTACAGTTTTTATAATATTCAAAGTTTTGCACGCACGGTTATTGATTTGCATGCAGCTTTTGAACCTGAAAACCATGGCTTCAAACTTCTTACTCTCCTCTCTCATTTGCACGTCGAATTTTCCTTTTATCGGGCGTTTAATCGTTTGATTTATGATATATTTAATAGGAATCATTAAAAATACGGTACTAAACTTTTCATTCGGAAAAAAAAAAAATGTTTACCCACATTCTTGTTTGATAAGAATGATAAAAAAGAAGAATATATAAGTTTTATGTTATTTTATTATTTGGAATGAAAAAAAAATAAAAAACAAACGATATGTTAAATATCATAAGAGTAATGTTACTGGAACCTAAAAATCTAACATAATTCACTGTGACCTTTGGATTGATTGTAGGCCCCATCAAATATTAAAATTTAGTGTTGATCCAATGATTCCTATTAAACCACATTATTATATCAATAAATTAAGTCAAATTTTTAGATTCAAATATCATTAACCATATCACAAATGTTCTATTAAATGTGGATCCCACCTCTTTTTCTGTCTGTTGAAAGGAAGTAAACAAGGGGTGGACCCAAGTGTATTAGTTTTCTCGAAAGAAACTAACAGCCACATAATTTAGCAAATGTTATTATGCTGTCCACCTTCTCTCTCCACTTTTTCCGCCTGAATTTCAGCAGATTTATTTCAATAAATGATATAACAAAACATAAATTTTAATTATAAAATTTAAAATATTTAATATTTTATCTTTAACTAAATTTTTTTATTTAAGTATAACATTTTAAAATTGAAGAATCTAAATATTACACGTATATAAATTTCAAGAAAGTCGGAATGTAATTTACTAACAGATATTGACGACATGAATTTAAGTATTATGCGTGTACAGACCTTAGAAGATTTGTGTATAATATTTCAAATATCAAAAAATCTAAATGATTAAGTGACAAACTTCAAAAAGTCTGAATATAATTCTCCCTATTTATTTTGCTGTCAAACTCGATTAATAAATCTATCACTCTAAGCATTGTAGCCAAACAGTAATATAATATTAGTCCGGGTGGTTGTGTGCAGTGGACTAAACCTAATAACTCACGGGTTAAAACACAAGATAACAAGTGTGTGTAAACTGATCTAAACACTCTTGACTGATAAATAAAATAAAAAAAAAAAAACAAAACAACATAACACAATCAATAATCAGAGCACAATGCAAACTTAGCAGAGACAACCACCTTTCTTTGTTCGGTAGGATAATACTAATTTAACACCAAACCAGGAGATGTAAGTAGGTACCAATTGCCTAGGAACCCCTTAACACCCAACCTTTTCCTTCTTCAACCAGTTCCTAATTCTCTATTCAAGTAATCCACAAACATCCTCTTTGCACTCTCAGCATCCGAAGGAGGAGGTGGTCCACTTAAGCTAGATTGCCCGGTCAATTTGACAAATGTTCGTCTTAGCCTTCGAAGCTCTGGCAGCCCAACTGATCTTGTAATATTAATTGTTGGTAATCCTGGACTCACAGAAATTCCATTTACAGGCCCCCCAAATGCCTGGGACTGTGCTGCAACAATAACATTAATTACCTCTTGCGTCGCTCTATCCATCTCATAAAGAGAGTTTGCCTCAGAAAACCTTGCATTTTGTGTCGCTATTGTTGGCTGTAAAACTTTAACATCCATTGTTTTCGAGTCTACTTTTTTCGTCAAGTATGAAATAGCGTCTACTATGGCAACAGAGGATTTCTCTATACAATCTCTAGCTGGCCATAACTCAAACAATGGTGAATCCCATCGATTTCTTCTATCTGGTTTCTCAAACCTTCTCACCAAATCTTCAAATATCTTATCATCATAGGCAGGTTCTTCTTTCTCCCTGCGTTCTTCATTCCATTTTCTACACTCAGTCTCTTCAACTTCACAATAAAGGACACAATATCTAATTCCTGCAGCACGAGCTAAACACCATAACTCGTATCTGTAACCCTTGATACTGTTTAAAGAATCCACTACAATAATATTATCTTTCGACAAAGATCTATCAACTTCAGATCTAAGTACCCCCCTTAGATTCTTCTCAGCCACCATGTCAGCATAGCTTTCGTTGCGATCAAGATGAAAGGAAGTTTCGTTAATGACCCTGACTGCTGGTTTAGATTCTGCGTCTTTGAGAGCTTCAGCTAGACAGACCGCAGCCGTTGATTTCCCACTGCATGGTTGGCCACAGATGACTACTAATGCCATTCACAGAAACTGGATTGCTTTGTGAGTCACTGAGATGCTCCTCCTTTGTCTGTTCCAGATAGCAATGAAGTATATTAAGGAGGGCCTTATCTATCCAAGAAAGAAGCTTCCATACCGAAGAAAAATAGTAAGGTATAAAGTAAGAGATAAAAGTGGTACCTCATAACTCACACTAAAGCCATATTATGATGAAACAATAAACCTCAGGTCCTCAATACATGTTGACTGACAATTGGTTTAGATGTCTCTTACACTATTCGAATTTATAAAGCAACACCATGGAGATATGGTAACAATTAACAAATAAATGAAGCAGATAAAACAATGGAAAAAGCAGTTAAAAGATGTATTAATATTGGGTATTTTGTGAAATTCAGGTAACTCAGAAGAGGAGAAAGCTATGGCCAATGAATTTTATGTCACTTGTTCAGCTCATTTGGAAGGAGAACTATTGCATATTTTTAGACTTAATGCTCTCTCCAAAATTTGATGCTGGTCACAATTTTGAGTCTTAGAGCTCCATTGTGAGGAATTTTCTGTTTTCAACTGGAGAATCTATAACATTTTTCAAACCCAAAAAACAAAAGTTCATCAACTGAAATCTAGGTATAACATACAAACTAGATGACTTATTAGCAAACTCAGCTCCATTTTTTCAGCTATGGAGTCAAATCTTCTCAGCAGGAATGAATAAGTTATACATGAGAAACAAGGAGTTCAGGATATAAGGATTAGTTAGGCAGTGTTCATAAGAAAGGTGAGAAATAAGAATAATAAGGATAAAAAACCTTCAAATGCGTTACCCTCAAAATATTGAATCGTTTCAATTTCATGGGCTCCTTAGTTTCATGAGGTACATGCCATGGTTCATATTCCAACCAGATGTAGACAAGTGGGAAGCTGACACTAACATACCCTAATTTCCACACGATATGGGACAATAGTAGGACCTCTAACTTCTATCACACATACAAGAAAGTGTCAAATAAACTGTAATCTCCAATTCCACCATATTGCAAGAACCATAGAAATAGCTATACAAATGAAGAAACTTTGTACTATATTGGCTTATAAGTCTTTTTTTTTTTTTTCGCTGCAGGGTGTGCACAGTATCTAGGTTTGTGCCGCCTACTCTCGAGCTCAAAACTTGAGCTCAAACCCGGCATCCGTAATTAAGAACAAGGGTAGCTGGCCTTTGGGGGTGTGGGAAGTGACCACTGGACCATGGATCAATATGTACAAGAAAGAATTTGATACCCTCAAATTGCGACTTCTGTTATCCTTCCTCGTTTCATCAAACAAGTGGTGGGCACAGCATAAAGCTGGAGATTTAGCTAAATAAATACATAATCTAATTCAGTTAACGCAAACAAGCTAATTCTGAAGAAACAAATTAAGAAATTAGGGATTTACTTCAATCGAATGAATCGAATACAATTAATTTAGTGTAAGGAATTACAAATCAACACAGGACAAATAAANGAAATTAGGGATTTACTTCAATCGAATACAATTAATTTAGTGTAAGGAATTACAAATCAACACAGGACAAATAAAGCAATCAAACTAAAACAAAAGCTCTGAAGTACCGAAAATCAGAGGGTGCTTTTGATTACCTGAAACTCGAACAGAGAAAGCAATGGCCGGACAGCTTATCACACACGCAGAGAGATAGAGGGTGTGTTTGGCAAATCTTTGGGGGATAGGATTGGTTTGGATTTTCAATCCAAACCAATCCAATGAAAATCCAATAACTAGGATACCAATGAAGTGGTGTAATCCTATCCCTCATTTGGAAAATAATTTCTTATATTATGGGACCCACGGACAAACCATTATTTTTTGGGTCAAATCTCTTTAATTTCACATGAATTTACAATTTTAACCTTTAATCCTATCTAAGCCAAAGTCAATGATGGCTATTGAATTTTATTCATGTTATTCACTTTGATATTTCATAAAAATGTAACAGCTGTGTCACTAAGGGGAAATACCAAAAATAATTCAATTTTCATTTTTCCAAAAGTTCACAAGTGCGAGCACATTAATTTCCTCGTAACATTGTTCCACATTATTTTGAAAAAAAAATTAAGAACAACGAAATAAACGATTCGATATCACATAAACATATGTTACATTACGTAATTACACATACCGAAATGGTCATATCACATGTTGCCTTCAAGTATACATACAAAATGAAGGCAACCACATGCGCATCATTTAACAAATGTATCCTAATCCCACATATGATGAACAACAGAAAAATCTAATCTCATATGTAAATTTGGGTAACCAAATCAAATAACCAATACAAGTTTCAAATTTGATTACACTCACTTTGTAATTTTCAACATGATCAAGCATGTTAATTACCAAATATAATGAAAATAAAATCTAAAAAAAATTGTCAACAAATATTATTTCCAAATCCAACAAGAACCTGCCCTCCTATGCATTGAACAGCTAATTATTAAATCATCAACTTGACCTCAGTTTCTATCAAACCAATAAGTTTTGATTTCTTGTTGCAGAGTGTGTTCAAGCCAAGCCTCAGACTCCTGTATCAACTCAGGACTCAATCTGAACATCAATACAAAAAAACCCATTTGATGAAGAGCCTCATCACCATTAATATCACCTTCTCTCACCATACTCAAAAGATCATCATCTCTCAGATGTGGGCTAGTGGAATTCTACGTAAAAAAGAAGGTTTTGCCCTTAAACTCCTTATTTCTCATGCATCTTGCAGAAGGAGAAGTCTTGCCATAACAGAAAGATCCTCTTGTGATATAACAATGCTTCCAAGTGAAATGATTCACACCATTCAATTTTAGCATACCATGTGGACAAAACCAATCAAGCCATTTAACTTGTGTATAAGAAGAAACAACCACCTTTATTTTCAGAGAACTCAACAAAGTTTTTTCTACTGCTGAATCCAATGCTTAAATGAGTATGAAATCTGGAAAAGGACCTCGAAATTAAAAATGGTGAAAATGAATCAAGACCCACAAATTAGACACACAAGCACAAAAACACCCACACACAACACATCACACACACAATGACCCACAAATGTTTATTGAACAAAAGAATGGGGAAAACTGTTAGTGTTCATGAAAAAAAGATGCCGGTGGCTGGAAAAAATAAACAAAGAAAATCACATTCTCAAAAAGTGTAGAGGAAGATATATTCAATTCCTATTCCAACTAAGTTGGTCATGTCTTCATCCATACAAGACAAAATAAAGAAAATCACATTAATTACAAGACACACATAGAACACACACAAACACACACAGACACTGCACATTGAAATCTCCAATCTTCAATCTCCATTTGAACAGGCCACTTTAATCCCTAATACACCATCCAATGACTGTATTTCTTTTCCAATTCCAATTCCAATGACTCTACACAATCCCAATTTCAACACAATCCCAAAATATAAACACACACCAACATAGACACAACACAAATACACAAACACAACACACAAACAGACCCACACAAGGGAGGAAATTGAGGGGGTTTGGGAAGGGAAAATAGATGGTTAGGGGGGATTTGGGTTTGGAGTTTTGTGTGTGTGCATTTAACAGAGATAGAGGAGAGAGATGTGAAGGGAATAATAACTGACATAGAGAGAGGGGGGGTTTGCTGGTGTTGGAGGTGGCGCAGGTGATGCTTGTGGTGCCGTTCACGGTGGCGGTGGCGTTGCAGTGGAGAAGCAGATAGAAAAGGGGTGGGGCGCTGGTGGTGCTTGGTTGCTGTTGCTGGTGGTGCTTGGTCGCTGGTGGAGGTGTTGTCGGAGAAAGGAAAGTGACGAGAGACAGTAGAGGCAGAAAGAGAGCCAAGAGAGAGCAGATGACACCGATGCTTGTGGTGCCGTTCGCGGGGGCAGTGGCGTTGCAGTGGAGAGGTAGATAAAAAAGGGGTGGGGCGCTGATGGTGCTTGGTCGCTGTTGCTGGTGGTGCTTGGTCGCTGGTGGAGGAGTTGTCTGTGTAGCGGGAGAGAGAGGAAAGTGATGAGAGACAGTAGATAAAAACCTAAAAAATTATTATTGAGGGGGTGTTTTAGTAATTTCAATACTACAACTGGTAGGAGTTTGTTAATCCCAAACGTTTCGGGGATGTTGGGATAGTGGGTTAAAGGTGGTTATCCCATAAACCCTGATAGGATGGGATAAAATAGGAGTGGACCCATAAAACCAGTGTTTGGGAAGTCATTTTTAAGTTAGGATACCAAACCCCGGGTCAAGGCTTGACCCGGTTGCTACAGTCCCATTTAACCCCCACACGCCGGTCACACTTAAGCCACCTCCCTCGGGGGTTACAAACCTAGGCACTGGGTTATCTCACACAGAGACGTATTTGCCCCTCTCTTTCTCCACTCACTCACAACCAGTGACGAATCCCTCTCTCTTGGCCACCATTAGACCCATCACCGCAACATAAAACCCATCACCAAATCGCGATGGCTACAACCAGAGACATCACCTGCACAATCAGTGGCCTATCCATGGCGATATGATAAAAATGTAACAAGAAGAGAGAGAGAGAGAAACTGAAATGGGTTTGTTTTTCCCTTCTTTATGCAACTCTCTGTTTTGATATAGTGGTGGTGGTGGGTGTTTTTATTGTGGTGGTGGTGGTGGCGGCGTTTCTTTTGCAAGGGAGAAGAGCTCGATGGGTGGTGGTAGGTAGGGGAGAAAGATGGGAGTGGAGGTGGACGTGGAGGTGGTGGGAGAGATGGGGCGGTGAGTTACTGTGGCGGTGGTGGGATGTATATGGGAGGTGAAGACCACTGGGAAACGAATGCTTTCTGTCTTCTGGGTTTGGGGGTTTCATCTAGAAAGAATTACACTTAGGTCTCCAGAAATTTGTCATTTAATTATTCAAACCCCTGATATTTAAAATATTAAACACAAATTCTCTCAAATTTATACGCGCATAATACTTAGACCCCTAAAAATTAATATATTCATTAATAAATTATACTTAAACCCTTTTGAAGTTGGTAGTAGGTATATAATACTCAGACTCCTTAAATTTAAAATATTATATTTAAACAAAAAATACTTCAATCAAATATAGAATATTAAATATTATTTTACAATAAAAATTCATATTCTATTGTATTATTTATTGAAATAAAATTNTGGTGGGTGTTTTTATTGTGGTGGTGGTGGTGGCGTTTCTTTTGCAAGGGAGAAGAGCTCGATGGGTGGTGGTAGGTAGGGGAGAAAGATGGGAGTGGAGGTGGACGTGGAGGTGGTGGGAGAGATGGGGCGGTGAGTTACTGTGGCGGTGGTGGGATGTATATGGGAGGTGAAGACCACTGGGAAACGAATGCTTTCTGTCTTCTGGGTTTGGGGGTTTCATCTAGAAAGAATTACACTTAGGTCTCCAGAAATTTGTCATTTAATTATTCAAACCCCTGATATTTAAAATATTAAACACAAATTCTCTCAAATTTATACGCGCATAATACTTAGACCCCTAAAAATTAATATATTCATTAA